AAATTTTCTTCTTGTGAACTGTTGGAATCTCCCCAGCAGTAACTTGTGCCCATCACCCCTTGTCTTTTCCATGTAACTCCTTGTAAAAAGGGAGTCTCTGTCTTCTTTGTAGCCACCCTTTAAACACTGGAACATGGGGATAAGGTCTCCCCTGAGCCTTCTCTTCTCCAGGCTGAACAAGCCCAGCTCTATCAGCCTTTCCTCACACAGCTGCCCAGTGCTTGGATCATCTTTGTGGCCCTTCTCTGGACCTTCTCCAGCCCATCCACATCTTTTGTGCACCATAGGAATCAAAAATGGACACAGTATTCCCAGTGTGGCCTGACAAGCACAGAGCAGAGTGGGACAATAACATCTTTATCTTGGTGATGCCTTTGTTGATGCTCCCCAGCAACCTGTTGGCTTACTTTGCTGCAGGATGGATGGATGGATGGATGGATGGATGGATGGATGGATGGATGGATGGATGGATGGATGGACGGATAGATGAATGGACGGATGGATGGATGGATGGATGGATGGATGGATGGATGGATGGATGGATGGATGGATGGATGGACAGATGGATGGATAGATGGATGGATGGATGGATGGATGGATGGATGGATGGATGGCAGGCAAGGTGAGAGGATGTCAGGCTGGTTGCCTCTTCAGCTGCTCTAGTGAAGGCACAGCGAGGACAGTCCCTGCTGTAGGTCCAAGTCACAGCTGGGACAGGGACAGCCTGGGTGCTCTGTGTCCCAGGGCTCACTCCATCTGCATCACTCAAGTTTAGCCCAGGCCCAGGGACCTGCTGCCTATGTCCCATCCCTCTGCTCCAGCTGCCGCTTGCCCTGCCTGGCCGGGAGGTGTCCTCGGGCAGGATGAGGCCCTTCCTGGTTTGGGATGGAAGCATTGCCATGTCCCCATGCAGCACACCCTGTGCCATGCCCCTTCATGCTGCAGTGTGTTTGCTTAGGGCAGGCTGCTGCTGCCACATGGCTTTTTCCCAGCCGCAATCTGCCTGTTGTTTGCATCTCCCAGGCAGTGCCAAGGGTACCCCATGTGCTGGCTGCATCACTGGGTACCCATCCCTGGACACTGATGATGTGGCAGGGCTGGGCACAGCCTGGGTGGCTCTTGGCTGCGGGTGCTGAAGAGAGCTTGCACCATTTGTACCTCAGTCAAGCTTGCGTCACCCAAGAGAAATGAGTTCCCATTATACACTGAGTGGGATGCTAGTCCTTACTGGGGTGGTGGGATGCAGGTCTGGATGCACAGCTGGCATGAGGAAGATAAGGATGGCACACTGCACCCCAAGGGATACCCACCCAATGCCTCCTTCCTCCTTCTCCATGACAGTCAGGAGAATAAGGTGCCTGGAGCTCTAGTCTCAATCCCCTGCCATGGGCAGGAACACCTTTCACTAGACCAAGTTGCTCAAAGGTTTCATGGTTGTGTGAAACCAGCCTTAGAAGGACCAGAGTTGGGTTCATCCCATGCTGGGACAGAAACTGGGGCAGCTCCAAAGCACTGGAGCCCCCCAGAGTGGTCAATACCTCTGTAGACAACCCCAGCCCCCATCAGGCAGGATACTTGAACCATCCCTACTGAACCTCATCGCTCCTGCAGCCTCACAGCCCAGCAGTGCTGAGTGAAAGCTGCAACAGGTCAGAAACCATGGTGAAGGGCTCTAGCATTCCTCTGCAGGGGCCAGGCTGCTGCAGTGGCAAAAGGCAGCAGCTGCACTGGGTAAGGGAGGGGAACACCAGCCTCATATACCCCCCAGCAGACACCCAGGCTATGGAACCCACCCTGCTCCCTGCACGGACCTCGGAGGAGGAACACCATGATGGCTCTGGCAGCAGGATGCAGGGCTCCTGGAGGTGTCCTGGTGTGGGCCATGGCTCGTGGCCACCATCCCTCGCTCCTGGCCAGCGCCTGCTTTCCTGCAGTGATGTGTAAAGCAGGGAGCTGTTTTCCTGACTGCTTCATCCCCCAAAACCTCGGCCCAGCTCTGGGTCCCTGTTGTCAGCTGGGGTGCTCTGTGCCCTGCCCTGGCTCCCTGCACCCAGTGTCCCTCACGGTGTCCCGTCTCCCTACCTTCCCAACCCTTTGCACCCTCCATCCTTGTCGCACCTCCATTCTGCAAAGTCCTCCCCTCCTCCCATCCCCATCCCCAGCAGCTGCCCACTAATCCCGGCCATCCATCGCTCCCGACAGCCTGGGATTTGCTCCAGGCCAGGGCCCTGCTGAGACCTGCACCTGCTCCCTGCAGCCCTAAAAAGGAGAGGAACCGGCCGCGTTCCGCAGGGACGTGTCATATTTTCTCTCCGGGGACACACGCTGTGCTCCCTGCCTGCTGGCAGCACCCTGAGACGGAGCACCCTGACCATGTTCTCCCATGGCAGCATCCCATGGGACACCCATCTGAGGAGCACCCACTGGCAGGGTGGTTTGGGGTGAAGGAGATGGAGAGGAGATGCTGAACCCCTTTCGGAGGGAGGGCAGGAGCACAGCAGGGGCCTCACTGAGACTGTCAGGGAGCTTGGCCAGGGTGGGAAGTGCCACAGTGCCAGTGCATGCCAATGTGTGCTCCTTGAACCTGGCAGCTGCGGGACTTTGCCACATCTCCAGGAGCTGAGCACTCTCCAGTGTGGTTCCTTGCCACACTGGATGAAACCACAGGTGCAAGAGAGCTTTGGGGGTTCACCCTTTCCATTGCTTTCCTGGGGTCTCCCTCTCCCTCCCAGCTGGATTTCATATCCCAGTGACCTTTCCCCTGTCCTCAGACGTGCTGGAGATCAGGCAGTGCTTGCTAAAGCCGGGAAAGGGGAGGGGGGGGTGACAGATTGACGGATGCTTGGACGCTCTGCGAGAGCTCATAAACTCCTTTCCCTGGGGAAACGGGGCTAAATATAGCTGCGGGAGGCTGCGCTGGTGCGGGCAGGCAGAAGCAGGCAGGAGGATGCTCATCAAGGCTGTTGGCAGGGATGGGGGCTGCGGGCACTGCTGGAGGCTTCTGTCCTTAAACTCATCCTCGACCAGCTGATGCGTGAAGAATTGGGTGTCTGGGAAGGGGACAGAGGCATCTGACAGGAGATGGAAGGCAGGGGTGGGCAGATGGGTAGGTGAGAATTCTGAGCCTGCCCTGAGAGCAGTAGGATGTGACCCTGGATTAATGCACCCAGTGGCCACCCAGGTGGCGTGGCATTGCCTCAGTTTCCTTTCTGCTGCTGGGGGAGGAGCACCACAAGCAGCAGACCCCCCTTTTCCATCAGTGAGGGAAGGAGCAGGATGGTACCTGGCACTGCAGGGAGCAGTGATGCTTTCCAGCAATGCCCCATCCCTGGCAGTGTTCAAGGCCAGGTTGGACGGGGCTTGGAGCAACCTGGTCTAGTGGAAGATGTCCCTGCCCATGGCAGGGGGTTGGAACTGAATGAGCTTTAAGGTCCCTTCCAACCCAAACCATTTTATGACCCTATGATGCTCTCTAGCTCCCTGAGCCACAGCCCAAGTCAGCAGTGCTGACAGAGGTAGAAGATCATGCCAGCTCCTTGGATGCAGCTTGAATGGAGACCTAATGATCCTTGGTTTTGCCTGGCTCTGGGCTGGCTTTATCCTTGGTGTGCCAACAGTGATGGTGACTTTGAGGTATGCTGTCTGCCTCTGCCCATCCAGGATTAAACAGAGCCAGAGCAGAACAAACTCCCATGGGCTTGGGGTCTGCTGCAGCATTGCATGGCCATGGGTGGTGGTTTACTTGCTAAGGCAGGCCTTGGAGAAGTGGGTGCTGCAGTGGATGTGCTTGTGCCGGCACCCCCAGCCCTGTCCCAAACACACTCATGGTCCAAGGGGAGCATTTCTGAGCCCCCTGGGGTCTGAGTGGTCAATGAGCTGGGTTGCAGACCCCAGCCCCCAGCACTGCTCCTGCCTGCCCCTGCCCATTGCCCCTGCTCCTGCTCCTGCCTCTGCTCCTGCCTCCTCCTGCCTACCGCTGGACACCAGTCCAATGGCTTGGGGTGTTAAGGGTGAAGATCTCAGTAGCCTTTGCCCTGGTGCTCATCCATGGTGTGGGGTGCTGGAGGGTGGAAAAGGGGAGAGGAAGGAGAAGGGGAAGGCAAAGAGAAAAAATGGGAAAGGGAAAATGAAAGAGAAAGGAAAAGGAAAAGTAAAAGGAGGAAAAAAAAAAAAACAGAAAGAAAGGAGGGAAAGGCAAAAAGGAGGAGATGGAAATGAGGAGAAGGAAAAGCAGAAAGAAGAAAAGGGAAAGGAAAAAAGAGAAAGGGAGTGGGAAACTAAAAAGGGGAAAGGAAAAGGGAAAAGGAGAAACAAAGGAAAAAGAAAAAGGAGAAAGGGAAGGATCAGGAAAAGGGGAAGTGGAGCAGCCAGTGCCCAGCAGCGAGGGCCCCTCTGCAGCCCACAGCACGGCTCCCCTCACCCGCAGTCTCAGCTGCCTGGGATCCACCAGGAACAACCAGCGCAGAGGCAGGACAGGTCCCTTCTGCCAGGGCTTGTGCACAGGGAGCTGAACTGAAACCCCAAAGGGACCCCAGGACTGGGTGTGGATGCTCCCCTGGCTGCCATAGCAGGCCTGGATGGCAGGCAGTGGGGCATGGGGACATGGGGATGGGGGTCAGAGGAGAGCCAGCTGCCCTTGTCTCTTTGGGTCCTCAAAAATCCCTATTCTCCCCCTCTCTTGCGCCTTTCCAGCTGCTCTGATCCAAGCATCCCCAGCAGCCCCCATCCTACACCAGAGATTCATCACCTCATCCACCACCCTTCGACAGCCCCCCAGCTCCTTTCCCCACGAGCCCAGGGCTTTCCCCCTTCTCTAGCTCCCTCCTCTTCATTTTCATTTAGAGACTCCATTAGCCTGCAGAGCTGTCTGTGGTCACTCCTTGTGCCTGGGGATGAGGACAGCACCAGTCAGGGTTGGTGGAAGTGGTTTGAAGCTCTACACCCCCTAAAACCCCCCACAGACAACCGAGCTGATCCCACTCTGTGGCTTTGCTCCCCAGGTTATGGCCATGCAGCCCCCAGCACAGACGGGGGGAAGGTCTTCTGCATGGTCTATGCCCTACTGGGGATCCCCCTCACCCTGGTCATGTTCCAGAGCTTGGGCGAGAGGATCAACACCTTTGTCAAGTACCTCCTCCACCGCATCAAGAAGTGCCTTGGCATGAGGCGGGTGGAGGTCTCCATGGCCAACATGGTCACCATCGGGTTCTTCTCCTGCATCAGCACCCTCTGCATTGGGGCGGCTGCCTTCTCCTACTACGAGCACTGGAGCTTCTTCCATGCCTACTACTACTGCTTCATCACCCTCACCACCATCGGCTTCGGGGACTACGTGGCCCTGCAGAAGGATGAAGCCCTCCAGAACAAGCCGCAGTATGTGGCCTTCAGCTTCGTCTACATCCTGACGGGGCTGACAGTCATCGGGGCTTTCCTCAACCTGGTGGTGCTGCGCTTCATGACCATGAACGCTGAGGATGAGAAGCGGGATGCGGAGCACCGGGCACTGCTCACCCGCAACGGGCAAGCCAGCAGCATCCACACCACAGACACCGCCTCGGCCGTGCCGGTGGCGGCAGGGGGTGGCGGGAGCAGCGGTGGCGGCTTTCGGAACGTCTACGCCGAGGTTCTCCACTTCCAATCCATGTGCTCATGCCTGTGGTACAAGAGCCGGGAGAAGCTGCAGTACTCCATCCCTATGATCATCCCCAGGGATCTCTCCACCTCGGACACCTGTGTGGAGCAGAGCCATTCCTCTCCTGGCCGCTGTCCGGAGACCCCCTCCAATAGATGTTTCTGCAACGCCCGCCGGTCGGCCATCAGCTCCGTCTCCACCGGGCTCCACAGCCTGGCGGCATTCCAGGGGCTCATGAAGCGCCGCAGCTCCGTGTAGCTCCTCTCCATCCCCACCCGTGTCCCCCAGACCTCTCCCCTTGGCTCTGTGGCCAAAGACCTCTCTTGGTCATGGCAGGAGGAAACCACCGCAGGTCTGGCAGTGGGACCCCCAGGGAGCTGTGGGCCATGGTCCTCTGGCTTGGGAGGGATGCAGGAGCAGCAGCAAGGCTGCCTGGTCCTCTAGGAAGCAGGAAGAAGGGAGCTGCTGGTTTTATTTTATTTTAATTTAAATTAATTTTATTATTTTATTTTGCAAAACCACTCCTCAAAAATGTGAAACTTGGAGAGCTGGAGAGTGCTTTAACTTGATGGGGTGGGGAGTACGCCTGCACCTCCCTCCATGACGAACTTTGTGCAAATGGCTGGGGACCCTCATAGCCCCAGCACAGCCCCAGGGCAGCCCAAGTGTGCAACAGCAATGGCCGTGAGCCAGACACATGGTCCTGTGTGCACCAGAGGCCTCATGAGACACGGACTGAGGAGGACATGGGGCTCTCAGCACCAACCACAAGCAGCAGTGTGGTCCCATCCCCTCCATCCTCTGCCTCCTCCAGCCGTGGGCAGCGAGGGGATGCCACAGCGAAGGCAAGCACGCATCAGAGGGCAAATCAGGCTAAGAGGGGCTTAGACGGAGCTCTCTCGATCCCTGCACACATCAGCCTGCCCCTGCGGCTGAGTAAAACAAGCCGTGAGTCACGTAGGCTGCCGAAAACGCCTGCCTCCACTCAGTGGGCAGCCCCTCGAGAGCTCTGTGGGGTTATTTCAATCCTTTCCAGACTGGCAAACCCAGGATTTTCCCAGTGGAAAGGAAGCAGGAAGCACGGCTCCGTCACCAAGGAGGCAGGAAGGCAATGTCAGCATGGTCCCTGGGACCCCCATCTCCATCCTCCACTGTGGCAGCTCTGGAGCCGGAGCTGTTACCCTTGGGGAGATTTCCTGGGGGACAACTTGAGGCATTATAAGAGTTTTTCACCATTCTTCTCCTTCACACCCCTGGGTTGCTCCAGTCCCCTTTCAACCTGTCCCCCATCACACCCCAACACCCAGAGCCCAGAGCAGGGGATGCTCTCAATGCTTTACCCAGCAGAGACATCCCAGGGTCACCCCAACACAGCAAGAGGGGAGCAAAATCCTCTTTCCTTATCCCCCTACATGCACGGGGCAGCCCCCAGCCCCATGGGGAGCATCCCCATCACGCCCAGGACTGTGCCCAGCCCCCTGCCAGCATCCAAAACACAGGCTGTCCCCCCAGCAGTGGAGACACTGGGGGACACCCTGACATGCACTGGCCCCTCTTTGAGCACCTGGAGTGCCAGGGGGACTCTGGGGACAGCCAAGGCACCCAGCCCGCCTGTTTCTTTTCTCACCTTTTAACAGAAGAAAACCAATGTATTTCTAATACTTGACGACTTGTACATACTGTTAGATACCAGAGAGGATATTTATTACAAATGATGCTATCATCATATCTATAGAAGTCTATAAATATCTATTGGAAAGAGGGTTTGGGGGGAAAACTTGTTGATGACTCTGGAGAATCTTTTCGCTCTCTGCATCCTTCTCATCCTAGGGCACCCATGGGGAACCACACTCCCCCTGGCAAGGTTTCTCTGGTTCTTATGCCAAAGTATATTTGTACTGCTGAGTTACCTTCCATAGAGAGAAATAAAGGCTGGTTCAAACCTCGGCATTGCCTCGACTTCTTCCCTTTAGTAGATGGGGTCCCAGTCCCATGGCACCTCCCTGCTTCAGCTCTGTGCCCCGTTGCCCTTGCTCTGCAGGGACTGGGAAGTATGAGCATTTCTTTGGAATAAGCTTCTACCCCCCTCCTGGCTTTTCCAACAGATAAGGAAGGAAGGAGAGGCTCAGCTCTGAGCTCTGCAGCATCCTTTAGTGAGTTCAGTGGGAGAAGGGTCTCCCTTCTGTATAGGCTGAGCTCAGGGCTTCCTGACCTCTTCCATCCTACCATCACCCACAGACGTAAGGCTGGAGTGGACCCTGTTGCAGCTTTTCCCATGGGAGCTCCTCCAAACCCAGCAGAGCTGTAAACCTCCTGCTCTTACCAGCAGCAGCATCTCCTCAGCCATCGCTCACTCCGGCTGGAGACCTCCCTCTGCTCCATGCAACAGCCAAGAAGCATCCGAGATTTGTTGTGTGAGCCAGGGGGGACAGGGGTGAGCCCCGTGCCTTGGGGTGTGTGGGAAAACTGAGGCACAGAGAGGAAACACACAAATTGGAGAGCTGGGGGCATCTTGAACCATGTTGGGCATCTGGCTCCAAACCTCCAAGGGGGTTTGGGCAGCGGTGAAGGCCAGGATGCACCAGGATGGATGGGGCCATCTCATGGCTGAGACTGTCAGCAGAGCTTTGGGCTGCTCTCCTGCCTTTAAGTGGATAAACCCATCTCCCTCCAAAGCCAGGCATGAGCTACCGGCTAATCTAATAACGCTAAGCCTGCAAAGAGCAGATCTGTCTCAGCAGCAGCTGATGGAGAGAATGGATAATCTGAGCAGCAGCTTTCACCCTGCACGAGGGTGCATCCATGGGGCTGTGGGAGGGTTGGGGACTGGGGGCTTCCCTGGCATTTGGTCCCTCTGTTATCCTTCTCTCCATCCTCCTCTGCCTCCAATGCTTCCCATCAGGAAGTCAGGATGCTGAGCCAGCCAGAGCTTTGGCCTGGTCCAGTTCAGCCACCCCCAGGGTGTAACTGTTACCCCAGGCTCCCATCCCCCTGCATGCAGCCACCATGCCCAGCACTGCACAGCCAGAGCAGCAGGGGACATGGACCTGCTGGGAGACTGCTGGTAACACACGGCTGGGAGCCATGGAGACGGCAGAGGGACATAGAAAGAATGGAGAAGTGGTCAGAGAGAGGAACCTCATGCAGTTCAGTGTGGAGAAGTGCAAAGTCCTGCCCCAGGGAGGAACAACCACATGCAGCAGTGTCCACCCACCTCAGAAGAAGAGGAGCTAGGGGTGCTCGTGAACACCAGGTTGACCCTGAGCCAGCAACACTCTCTTGCTGCAAGGAAGGTTGAGGGTAATACAGGCTTCATTAGGCAAAGCATTGCCAACAGGTCAAGGGAGGGGACCCTTCCCCTCTGCTCATCACTGGAGAGGCTGCTCCAGGAGGGCTGGATCCTGTTCTGGGCTCCCCTGTCCATGAGAGACATGGACATACTGGAGAGAGTCCCAGCGAAGGGCAGTCCAGTTCACCATGTAGATGTAGATGGTGGGCTGGAGCATCTCTCCTAGAAGGAAAGGCTGAGAGAGCTGGGGAGCAAAGAAAGCTCAAGATTTCACCATCGCTATGAACACCTGATGGGCAAGAGGATGGTGGTGCTCACTGACAGGACAAAATGCTCGGCCACCTCAAAATGGTCCACTTTGGGAAAACAGAGCATCCCCAGAAACCATAGGGATCTGCAGGGGCTGGTCCTCTCCAGCCAGATCAGGGCAGCACAGGAAGGTCCCTGTGATGTACAGGGTACTGGGTGGGGAGCTCGGACACCCCATGGCAGGGGACCAAGAGGTGCCCCCTTTGGAGGAACCCATGGCAGGTCCCAAGAGGTTTAGGAGCACCGGAGCCATCCACCCCTCTGCCTCATCCCGGGCGATCTTTATTCCTTCTCAAAGCATTTAAATTCTCCTTGTCAGCCATAGACCAAATATTTACAGTCCACTGGAGGGACTTAGAATTCCTCTCCAGTATTAAGCAGAGCTCAGCTGTGGGGGAAGCTCAGCCCCAGGCAGTTGAGACTCATCCTGTCTCTCCTCAAAGCCTTGAGGAAAAGGAGGAGAAGGGGTGGGGAATGAAGGCTTCTATCCTGGCTGAAAAGGTGCCAAGTACGCTGTGGGAAGCAGGTAGAGAATGGGGAAGGGGGGGGGTGTGTGTGTGTAAAAAGCAGAAGCAATGAAAACTCACACAGCTCTGCTTTCTAAAGCCATTTTCAGTACTCTTTTTAAACTCATTTTAAAAAAGCCTCATAAATGTTTGTTTTCCCTTCCCAGCTCATTAAACCCAGCAAAAAGAAACCACCGGGGATGGGGGAAACTATATTTTCATTATCCTGAGCTGCTCCCTACCCCATACACGAGTGTCCTCACCATCTCTATTGCAGTGCACCAAAGGCCTTCTGATGCTGAAGGTACTGATGCAAAGAAATCACTCTCCAGTACACACTGTACAGTAAAGCACAAACCTTTACTGGCGGCGGGAGCACGTGAGGGTTCAAACCTCCATAGACACGTCCAAAGAACAGCAAATCTTAGGGGGTCTTTTATACCTACTTTTCATCTTGAGATACTTGCATCTGTTCGTACAGTTCAGTAAGTTATATAACCTGTGGTTTTCTTATCCTATCGTGCACTTAGGTTAGGGCTACAGCGACAGTCTGTGAGTTAGTATTAGTCAGGATTCTTACCTTTTAGCTTAGTATTATTGATTAATTGCTAATACCTGCAAGCTACCTGCTTGGTTCTTTGTTCAAATTGTTATCATATTTTGCCATTAGAGATGTCCCTGCTTATAAGCAACTTACAGAAGCAGATGCAAGGCTGCCTACATACCTGAGTTCTAACTTACTGTATATCGTGCCCTTCCAGGAGGGCAGGTCCCTACTTGCAGACAAGTTTCTATTAAGCAGGTGCAGGTGTGGTTTTAAGTGTTGAGTCATACTCATGCTAAATAGCAAAGTTATGTCAGCTAAAGCCTAATGGCTTGGTCACGATATCCTGGGACAGCTGGGGGACTTGGGACCAAATTTGGGTCTGAATTCAGGGAGAAGACATGGGAAAAGTGCTGGGGAGGAGCACTGTGCCTGGATGGGTGCAGCCACGGGATGAGGACCACCAGTGGCACCAGCCTGGGGACCCTGTGCTGACGCTGGGGACACTGAGATGACCCAAGACGCAGAGGCAACCTGCTGTAGCCAGTGGCATCTCCATGAGCAGCATTACGGTGTCCTCTGTGACATGATGCAGCATTCTCTGTGGCACAGGGATTGAGTGCACCCTCAGTAAGTTTGCTGATGACAATGAGTTTTGTGGTGTGGTCACACTGGAGGGAAGGGATGGGATCCAGAGCGACCTGAACAGGCTGGAGACATGGGCTGGTGAAAGCCTTGGAGAGTTCAACAAGGCCAAGGGAAAGGTCCTGCACATGGGTTGGGACAGTCCCAGGCACAAACATGGCCTGGGGAGACTGGATTGAGAGCAGTGCAGAGGAGAAGGCCTTGGGGGTGTTGGTCAATGAGAAGCTCCCCATGACCCAGCAGTGTGCTCTTGAGCCCAGAGACCAACCGTGTCCTGGGCTGCATCACCAGCAGTGTGACCAGCAGGTCAAGGGAGGGGATTCTACCCCTCTGCTTTGCTCTGGTGAGACACACCACCCCCACCCTCCCACCACCACCCCCCCCACCACCCCCCCCATAAGAAAGAAGTAGAGCTGATGGACTGCCTGAAGGGGCCAAAAAGAAAGCTGGAGAGGGGGGTTTGACAAGGAACAAGGGGAATGGCGAGGGACAAGGGACAGAGGGGAGGTTGAGTTGAGCTCTTAGGAAGAAGCTCTTCCCTGTGAAGGTGGTGAGGCCCTGGCACAGGTTGCCCAGAGAAGCTGTGGCTGCCCCATCCCTGGTGGTGTTCAAAGCCAGGATGCACAAGGCTGGCAAGCTCAGGAAATGGGAGTGGAGCCCAGGAGAGGGAGGAATTAAACACTATTAATGAGGGGATGGGCCTCATGGCCTCATTAATTCCGTGGGACTGGGCAGCTTCTGAGTGATTTGGGGGCTCAGATGATGCATGTGCACTGACCTACAGGGGTACATGCTTGTGGGCAGGACATGTCACCATCCCCATCACGCCAGCTTGTCCACACTCTTTCTGGTCCCAGTGGGACTGGGTGCCTCCAATGTTCTGTCTCTCCCCTCTGGGGACCCCACAGACCCCGGATAGATGCACAAGCATGTTTGTGCGTGGCTGGCATTGGCATGGAAGAGTGGGCACATGTTGTGCATTGTGCAGGGGACTTTGCAAGTCAGTGGTTCCGCCACCACTCACCCATGTGTCCTTGGAACAATCACCCATCCTGGGGCTGGAAGAGGGGGACCAGCACAGGGAACAACATGGGACCAACACAGCTGGCCCGTCCTCCCTGCCCAGTCTGTAGTGTCCTCATGGGTGACACCAGTGGGTTTCTGCCAGGGGGGAATCCTGATGTGCTTGAGATACTGCAGGTATGTGGGGTCACTAGCGGTGCAGGAGGCAGATCTACAGCCTGAACATCAGCGCGGCACAGTGGCTGCTGGGTGTCCTGTGGAGTTTGGGGGCACTGCTCTGCTCCCACCCTGTTCCAAGAGGAGTCGCTAGAACCAGCACTCACCTCCCATTACATCCCACCCCAGGGCCGTATTTGGGTCCCCCCTCAACAAGGGCAGGAGGCGATGCCCACCCCTGCCCTGCCCATCTGTGGCCCCCCAGCCGCGGGAAGGGTTAACTTGGATCGGCGAAGGCAGCCTTGGCGGAGGCCCTTGGAGTGGGTTTTTTCTCCCCCGAGGCCTCCCACGGGTCACGGCTGCAGGGGCTGACGTGGGATGGAAAAATAATTTATCTCCGTCTGGCGGGGAGGCACGGGGGGGACGGGCGGCAGCAGAACCCACTGCCAGGGGTAGAGGGGCCCCTGGAACCCC